CAGTTACAGGACACACTTGTACACCCCTGGTGCCTTTGGGGCTCTCTCTCTCTCAAACCTTGCCGTAAGGCGGCTAATTATAAAGACAAAGACTAGGGAGACTAGGATGGCCATTTCTGGCTTGTTAGCCATCGTCAGCCAGTCATACCCAAAACCAAGTGGTGCCCCGCCCGAGCTTCAAACCCGCGCCCTTAATAGTTAGAAGCCCAACACTCTAACCACTGCGCCACGCGATCGCTTTCTTGACCAAGAATATGCAGTGACAGATAGGCGCATACCGGTCAGTCACAGGACACATTCGTCTGTCCCTGGCTGACTGGCTGGCGACAGCTAATAAGGCAGAAATAGCCATCTTAGTCTCTCTTGTCTTTTTCTGTGTCATGCTGTGACAACTAACTCCTCTACCCTCTCACCATGCGCCCACATCTAAGACTAATAGCTCCCACTCTCTTTACCTATGAAGTTTCACTCTTCTGGGCCGACACTTCATCGGACAGGTTATCTATCTTGTTAATAGGCAACGACTGTTTGCAGTTGAATAAGAGGTCGCGGTTATTTATGAATCCCATGCGGAAAGTGTCTTAAGTGCACGGAGGCATCCGCTAGTGAATCATGCATCACCGCAATATGCAGACGCGCCAAATCCCATTTGTTTTCTGACTCTCCCTCTTGTGGCATACAATGTCTGCACCAGCGGCCTGCAGTGGCGGTCTTTGAATAGACCAGCGCAGCTGGCCCAAAGTTGGCCCGGTTGCTGCTAGTTGAGCAGGTGCATGAGTCATCATCATCGTCATGGTGGCTGTGTGGTTTGCACCTCCTGTCACCTCCGCGTGGCGGACCGCGTGTCCGCGCGCAATGATGACCCACTTTGCACTTCCTTGCGGCGGCTGTCTGACTGAGTGCCAAAACTGGCACGACGCCGCCGCGACTGGTCAACGCAGGTAACGACACACGGCAACTCCTATATCCTCAGTCGACATTTGGAACTAAGGTAGCGTAGTCGGTACGAAACTTTGCGGACATTAAATTGGGAACAGGTGTGTTGCGAGTGACCTACTCTCTGGGCGTAACAACACAGAAGATAGGCTCTCACAGCTATGGCCCACATAAATATTGGGCATATATGGCAGAAATCAGAAAAAAAGAAATTTTTTCTGGTTTAACGTTTTTTTACGTGAACAAATGTTTTAGAGACATTTAGAGGTCTTACTGATGTTTTAAGTTCAAGATGTCCAAATTCGGTAGAGACCTATTTGGAGAATACCACTAAAACAAACGTTATTATAAAACACCGAAGCTTATAGTCACAAAGATTATTTAGAATACACCATCCAACCCATTTTACACGCAAGTACTGTTAGGCAAGAGGCTTTCGGATGACTTGTATTATTCGAGGATGTTGGCGCAAAAGTTACGTGTAAAAGGACGCAATCTGTGGTGTCGGCACTACGCGGTTAATATGATAGTTATGAAATATAGGTGAGTGACCCAAAGTTTCGGCTGAAATGTAATTGAATCTCATGTTATCAGGCACGTCCGAGACTGTATTCGTCCCACAGAGCCTGCAGAGGAATTTGATAGTGCAACTACTCTGCCACTTGCTCCTGTAGAGCAGGATACATTGGCCGAACGAGGCGTCTGAAACAGAGAGTACGTGAACACATACTGGCTTGGTAAAGTAAAAGTTAAACTATATCGACCTCGAATTCTATTCTGGCACACCTTGTCGATACGAATGAAGCGTTTCAGGTGTTCTACCGGACACCAGCCAACTTCTCCAAGGGCGCACGTCAGCGGGTGCTAGGGAGTTTAAAGGCGTTAGCCTGACACTGAACGGATACTGAACAGCAGAGACAGTGGCTATGAGGCTATCGAATCCAGTGCTGTGCTCTCAGAAGACGCTAACACATGCCCTTCCACTTTCGTGGCCAACGTTAACGCCAGGTGGTGATCGCATATCGCCCCAACCCTCTACTAACAGTTGTTCACTCCGTGCAAGGGACAGTAGTTATCACTCCAGTACTTGACCCACGACCAAAGCTCACAACCTGTCCTCATTTCCTCCCCTTCCCCCCCCTCCCCAGCGCAAGGACCTCTACACGTCGATCTTGCCATGCGGGCGGCGTGAAAACGATTTTAATTATCCCTGCAATTGTACTGGCCTGATGATGAATTGCTGAAAATATGTGTTTGCTGAATAAACTTTCCAGTTTAAAAATGAATTTAAGCGGTCTCAGTTTTTGCAACTGACATGCAGACTTTACCGTGGGGTCTTGAAAACTTTAATTTCACTGAAAACACCCACCTTTCCATGGAATCACAGAAGCAGGCATAGGAGTAGAGGAGAATGAGGAGTCGCTGAAGAGCTGCAGCGCTCTCCGCGTGGAACAGGACGGTGTGCCGGGGATCGAGGGCCAACCAGTCGTAGAAGACCTCACAAAACGCAATCATTGACTCGAGATCGGGCGTGCCACAGAGATCAAAACAACAGTCAACGACCTGCAAGAAAAGAATGTAATGGAAAGGGGAGCTGACCAGTTGGCGTAGCCAAATGTGCGTGAATTGTTGGCAATGAAAATCATTGCATTTATAAAGATTCCGACTGGAAAAAAAATTACTTATGCTTTCTTGGATAGACCATTCTATCTAAATCCTTCAATATAGTCTTGAACATGAGGCAGTTAAGGAAGAAGGATTGTCGAGCACCGGATCGATTTTTAATTATCCTGAGCTTTCGAACTCTTCCAGGGGTCCATCGGCAGAGGTAAGAAATAGCAACAAAAGGGAGGCTCCTCATAGTGGGTGTACACCA